AGATATTGCCTGTTTTATTTAAGAGTTTACAGTTTTGCGGACTCATGATGCGCGCGTGTCTTGGAACATCTAATATAGCAGGTTGTATGTTTCACTTTAAGTGACCATCTCTGACCATCCTTAGATACGCATTTGAGTTGATTTTTAAAAGTTGAAAGAATGGAGAAACAAATATCGCACAAAATAAATATTTTTTAATGATTTCTCTTTTTTTTTATCTCGTTTATATTTAATATTTTTTATATTTCTTTTGGTGTTATATATTTCTTTACATCTTTAGAAGCATTATTATTAATCGTTTTTTTACATGAAAATAATAGAAATTGACCCAAAACAAAACACGCTCAAAAAATAAAATGGACTAAATTTAACCTGTGGATATATACATATGCGATGTGCAAATACCCAAAATACCCTGTTTAAGGTATTATTTGATATAATTTATTGGTTTTATTTTATATATTTAGTACTATTACATAAATAAAATTAGAATTTTTACATTTTAACTATTAAAATCTTTTTCTATAAGCCTATTCGAAATTCGAATAAACAGATGTGTTAATTATTAAACACCGCGAAATTTATAACGCCATCGTAAATAAAATTATTATTATTAATAACAAATTTTGTTAATTTTGAAATGAAATTAATAACTTAACGCTATATTTTTTAACAAAATAATCACAAAAGCGTCATGTGTACGCATTTCATTCAAGTGTCTTTATTTTTACATTTACTAGAACAAAAACCTCTCGTACATTCACTTCTGCAATCGAGTAGGGAAAATAGGGAATATTATCTGACTCTTATAGGGAAAAAAAGCATCACCATAACAGAGCAGAAAAGATCTCGTAAGATCAAAGATGGCCGGTATCAACCATCTGGATCACAAAATCGCTCTGTACATCAGCACAGATCAAAGTACCGCTTGGGGTTGGACTGTTTTGTATACATTGAACCGAAAACAATTTGTTTTTGAGCAGTACAAAAATTTTCTGTGCTACGTGGGTGGAGTTTTAGTAACAGGTGGGATACATTGTGGGTGGAGTCGACTAAGTACATAAGAGCTAGTTGTACAAGTCGTCCTTAAGGTTTTTTTCCTACCTATTTTCTTAAGGTTTCTTTTTTTTTTTAAAAGAAAAAAAAGAAAAAAGTTTTTCCAAATTGTACTGAATATCTTTCCTTGTATAGAGAGAGACCATATTTTTTTTTCTTGTAAATCTAAGATGCAATACTTTTTGTTTTATCTTGCAGTTATATATTCTTTTGCAATTAAACTCGCTGCTTTCTGAACTTTTTATATTTATTCCCACAAAAAATTTTCCTCGTGCAGATATTTACCCTCCCCTTTCCCCCTTCTTCAGTAAGACCCTCCCCTCTGAAATGCTGTCCGCACCATCTGTGGAGTTGTGCTGAAGAAGAAGATGGTGTTGATGCAGCATTTGAGGCGCCGTACGGGATTATAAGGGTAGACAAAGCCGTATTTAGTTTGAAACTTTGCTACCGATTTTTCGAGACATATATTTCGAAAGATAAATTTGTGTAGGCTGTCTTTGAGTGTTGCGCAAGTTTTGGGTAAATCTATGGCGTTGTCAAAAGGCACATGTGTCACGCTTAAAATCCTATTAAAAGGTACATACAAAGAAATAAGCCATTTAGTGGTTTAGATAGCGATTTTTGCTTAAAGAAAAAAATATATAAACGAGCAAATTGATAAAAACTCAATCCCAGATGTTTTGAAATTTAGGGAAAATGATTTTGATACGTTAAAGTTAGTGAATGATTCTGCTAATTGTATATTATTGTGTGCATTTAAAATCTTAATATTTCCATTGCGAAAAAATAATATTATACTAAATTAATATTAAATAGTAAGTACTTTTAAATATATGTGGTTTTTTTGCGAAAAGTTACTTATTAAATAATTAATAGACTTTGAATTTGAATAAAAAGTCCAGCTGTTTTTTAAATAGGGTATTTTCTAATCGTATATATAGCTAACAATTTAATTATTTAGCCAATTATTTTTTTAAAGAAAAAAAATATAGAAATGAATTGATACAAAACATCTAAAATGTAGGAAAATCAAATGATGATCAATGTAATGAAATTTAGGAAAATGAAATAGATACATTTAAGTTAATATTTAAGATATCTTTCATTTTATAAATTTTTTAATGTTTATAATTTTATTATGTTATCTTTCTGGGGGCCTGATGGCCGAGTGACTAGCGCTCGGTACCAAAGGTTTTGAGTTCGAGTCCCAACGATGCCATGGATGTTTGCAATATTTCGGAATCCACTTTAAATTGTAGGTCTCGGTCTAATATGACTGTAGGGCTGACTACCTCCTCATAAAAAAGAAATATCCCCTGTCTCAAAATCTGCCAGTAGGTAGCCGGCTTTGGTCCACCATGGGGCGGTGGCGCTAATGATGGCGATGAAGAATTTTTCGTTAAATTTTTAATATAGAACTGTTATGTGCAGCTGCTATTGAGATTTAGCCATTTAATGGTTTAGATAGCTATTTTTGCTTAAAGAAAAAAATATATACACGAGAAAATTGATACGAACTCAATCGCAGATGTTTTGAAATCTGGGAAAATGATTTTAAAGTTAGAATGTAACGGTTCGTGCTAGTTTTTGTTAATTGTATATTAGAGTGTATTTTTTAAATTTTAATATTTTTATTCAGAAAAAAAAGTACTACACAAAAGCGATGTCACGAAATATTATATATTAAACATTTAATAGACTTTGAATTTGTATGAATTGCGATTGAAATGTATAACTGTTTTTATCAATTTTATGTACAGTTAACAAAACAGTTACAGTTAACAATTGCTTAGACAACTATTTTTTAAAGAAATGAATTCATACAAATCATCTTAAATGTCTTCGAAGTTTTTGAAATTTATTAAAATCAATTAGATACATTTATGGTAATATTTAAGACTAACTCTGTATTTCTTTCATTTTATAAATTTTTTAAATATTTATAATTCTGTTGTATTGTTAATCTGGCGACCTGATGGCTGAGTGACAGGCACTTTGGTCTCGGTGCCACAGGTTTGGGGTTTGAGTACCGTCAAGGGCATGGATGTTTGTGATGGTACAGAATCTACTTTAAACTGTAAATCCTGGTCTGACTGTACGGTTGACGACTCTCCCCATAAAAAAGAAAACATCTCCTATCTCGAAAACTGACAATAGGCAGACTGTTTTCGCTGTTGCGCTAATAGTGATGATAACGAATGTTTCATTAAATTTTCAACATAAAATTGGTAGGTGCTAGCTGCTATTAAGATTTAATAGCGATTTTTGCTAAAAGAAAAAGAGCAAATTGATGCAAACTCTTTTTTTTTCCGTTCTAATGCAGCTGGCAACAACTTAGACAATTGTCTTTGATGCTTTAAGGCAAGCGCTGCACAGACGTTACTCACTTTGCATTACCCAGGGGGCGCGTGTAACTTGAAGATAAGCCACGGAAGCGGAGTAACAATGCCCCGCAACGCTCTACGATCCTATTAGGACCGGGACCTACAGTTTAAAGTGGATTCCGAACCACTACAAACATCCATGGCACCGCCGGGACTCGAACCCGAAACCTGTGGTACCGAGCGCCAGAGCGCTAGCCACTCGGCCATTCAGGCACCTTGATACAAACTCAATACCAGATGTTTCGAAAAACTGGGAAAATGATTTTGATACTGTAAAGCTAGAATGTAACGGTTTGTGCTAGATTTTGTTGATTGCATGTTATTATGTATTCCTAAATGTAATATGTAATTAATCAGTACTTTTAAATAAATATGATTTTTTTGGGAAATATTATTCATTAAATAATTAATAGACAGACCAGCTGTTTTTAAATAGGGCATTTTATCAATCGTATGTACAGTCAACAAAAAAAAAGGTTAAAAATTAAATTTTATTTATTAAAGATTTTTTTATTTATTATTTAAAAAAATATGATTTTGTAAGTACATTTCTAAGTAATTTTTTATGATTTTACATAGTAAATACTTTTAAATAAATATGATTTTTTTGAGAAATATTATTTTTTAAAAAATAATAGACTTTGAATTTGAATTTGAATGAATTGTAATTGAAATGTCCAGATGTTTTTTAAATCGGGTATTTTATTAAACGTACGTACAGTTGACAATTGTTTAGACAATTTTTTTTTAAAGAAAAAAATACAGAAATGAATTGATATAAAGTATCTTAAATGCCTTCGAAATTTCTGAAATTTTGGAAAATCAATTTGATACATTTATGTTAATATTTAAGACTTGCACTGAATTTATTTTATCTTATACATTTTTGTTAGTATTTATAATTTTGTTGTGTTGTCATTTAGAAGGTATGATGGCCGAGTGACTAGCGGTCGGTCCCACGGGTTGCTGGTTAGAGACCCGGTGGTGCCATGGATGTTTGCAGTGATTCGGAATCCACTTTAAACCGTAGGTCCTGGTCTAATATGACTGTAGGGCTGATGACCCTCCCCGTAGAAAGAAAACATCTCCTGTCTCGAAATATGCCAGTACGCAGACGACTTTGGCCCACCATGGGACTGTTTCACTAATGATGACGATAACGAACTTTTCGTTAAATTTTCACCATAAAATTGGAATGTGCAGCTGCTATTAAGATTTAGCCATTTAATGGTTTAGATAGCGATTTTTGCTTAAAGAAGAAAAATATGTTGTTGTTGTTATTTCTTTTCCCACTTGGCTGGCCAAGCCCACGAGCCCATATGGACTCATGATTGAAGGGGAAGGAAGCAGCTTCTGTTGTGATGGAGCACCCGTAGGTAGAAGCCTGACTTTTGCTCCGTGACGCTCTTACAGTCATAGAAGACCGGGACCTACGGCTTAAAGTGGATTCCGAACCACTACAAACATCCATGGCACCGCCAGGATTCGAACCCGAAACCTGTGGCACCGAGCGCCAGAGCGCTAGACACTCGGCCATTCAGGTCCCAAATGTGTGAATGCCGACGGCACGCGGTGTTCCCAGGTGGTCACCCACCCAAGTACAGACCGCGCCCAATGATGCTTGACTTCGGTGATCTAACGAGAACCGGTATATTCAGCATGGTACGGCCGTTGGCTAGAAAAATATACATGAGCAAATTGATGCAAACTCAATAACATATGTTTTGAAATCTGGGGAAATGATTTTGATAAAGTTAGAATGTAACGGTTTGTGCTAGATTTTGTTAATTGTATATTACTGTGAATTTTTAAATTTTTAAAAAAAAGATTAGAAATTAATTAAATTTAATGAATGAATTAATATTTGAAACAAACTGAATTAACATCCAGTGTCATCCACTACAAGTTCAAAAGAAATGTATTTGAACGTGAGTGGATGAATAAAAAGTATTTCATGAACGATTGAAAATTTGAACGAGATATATATAGGGAGAGTGTGAGCCAATAGGAGGAATTGAATAAATGAGATTTTTTTGAGAATCATTCAATAAAAAAAATTTAAGATCTTGAATTTGAACGTGCACAGCTGTTTTTAAATCTTAAATTATTTCAATCAAACGGCAACTGGATATATATATATATATATACATGTATATGAAATAAAGCAAGTTATAAATGAAATAATAAATTCTATATTTTTTTATCTATTTGATCATATTTAATAATATTTTAAGAATGCAAGAAATGCAGAACACAAGAAGTTTATTGTGTGTGTAAACATGCTTACTCTTTTGGTACATAAATTAAAATTAATTATTTTCCGAAATATAAAAATATTTTACAGTATAAGTGTTAAAAAAAAGTGTTTGCATTTTTAGTGAATATAAGAGAATTAACTGAGGTAAAAAAAAAGTTTGAAAAGTATTACCATAGAATATAAAATTTAGCACCAATTATTATTCTTACATAACAATCAAGCTATTCAAAACATACGACAATTAATTTAATTTGGTTACCATGCTAAAGCAGATCGAAGATCCAAACTCCTTTCAACATTTAAAACGAATTTTTTTCAATAATTTATTCTGTAAACTCATACAGATCTATAATAATTTAATTTACTCAAGAAACTTCATATTAATAGTTTTATTCTCAGGTCGTGCGTTGTTAAAAAATCTGAATCATTTACAAACAAGATAGATGAATTCAGATTTTTAACTTACAAAATGGCAAGCCTTTAGATAATGATCGCAATTTCCTGTATGCTTATAGGCTCCATTTTCGGCCGAAAATAAAATATAATCCGAACGCCATATTAATTTCCTGAGGATTCTCAAATTTCATTGGACAAACCATATACAAAAACAAAATATCTCAAATAATCCGCAGTGGCGTAGAATATACAAGTGATTCGTGCTTTTTCTTTTTCATACTATATACCAAAATAAAAGATCTCTAATAATCTGCAACGGTAATTCGCTTTTAAACTTTGACATACTTATATCAATCAAATTATTTTTTATATCCATGGATAAAGCTTAAAAAATCTTTTTTTTGGTTTTAAAAAACGATTTGATGCCCCAATTATACATAAAAAAGTTATGTTTTAAATTTAAGGTAGTTGAAATCGGAAAAATATTCAATTTAAAATGAAAATAAATATATTATGGTGGAAATAAAAGAAACATTTTTTTGACTGCATAATTTTTATATATTTTCTAGAGAGATGAAATGCTTGATTCCTCGTGATATAATTACACATTCATAGTTCATTATTAATTTGGCCTTCTTTAAAGCGTATTTAATTTGTGCCTACAACTTCATTCAGTTCCATTTTCAACCGCTAGCACACATCATGTGCATCGTATTTTTATTGCTCATTATCACCAATTTTTATGGGTTATTTTTCCTTTTAATTTTAGAAAAAGGTTTATTTTTCTTTCACAAACATTTTGACCATTTCTGTTGACAAAAAGCATTTTTAGGGATCCATTTTGCGCAATAAAGTTTCTAATCTGCATACCGAAATTTTCAAATTTTTTTAATGGATAATCCAGAAATCAACGAGAGGAACCTAGAATATGGAGATATAGTTTTGTGTATAGGCTAATAGATAGTCATCTTTTACAGTAAAAAATGTCACTCATTATGAACAGTAATGAGACAGTTGACGTAAATATTAAATCTAATATCTCTGTAACGAGGGTAAAGAAATTTTTTTTCTTATTAACGTTGTAATTGTTAAAATACTTCACAAATTAAATTGTTATTATTATTTTAGTTACTAATATCATTTATCTAACACTCTGGCGCTCGGCGCCACAAGGTTCGAGTCTCGGAGGTGCCATGGATGTTTGTGGTGGTTCGGAATTATCTTTAAACAGTAAGTTCCGGTCTAATATGATTGTAGAGCGTTGAACGTAGGGCTAACAACCCTATTCCGTAAAAAGAAAATGGAATATTTCGGAATCTGCCAGTAGGCAGACGTCCTTGGCCCACCATGAGGCTTTTGCATGAATGAGGTAGAAGAAGAAGAATATCAGATATGAAATAAAATTTATTTTTGTAAGTGAATATGACTTTATTTTGGGTTAAAGTAAGTTTTGAATTGTAAAAATTAGACTCGAAACCGAATTGTGGGTGTGAACCTCTGAGGTGTATGTTTTTAATTGAGGTTTAAAAATGTCAATGTGGTGCATCCTAGGTAATGATGAATCTGTTGTCTTTAAGTTATGAATCTGTATGAATCTGTTTTCTTTAAGGTATGTATCTGTGGGAATCTGGTGTCTTTAAATTATGAATCTGTAGTCTTTAAATTATGAATCTGTTCTTTAAATTATGAATCTGTTGTCTTTAAATTATGAATCTGTTGTCTTAAAATTTTGAATCTGTTGTCTGTTGTCAAAATGAATTTCAGCACTTTGCTAAAACTTAATAAAACTGTCATTATTACTGTATTATTTGCTTACATACAGAAAAAAATACAAAAAAATAATGGTACATAATAGTCTGCAATACTTTAATACTGGTTTTTATTGAATTTTTAGCATTTTTAGCGAAATTGAGGAAATTTTCCTTTTATTTCGGAGGATTCTACGTGCACTGTGTCACACTTTTCTGTTGAGCAGGAAGAGCCCCAAAGTGTTACCCAGACTAATTGAAACTACCGGAAACGTAAACATGTGTTAAGTGTCCGTTTCTTCGCATACATCACTTTTTCTTTTCCGTTCCAAACTTCTTCCTTCTCAGACACGTGGTTTTTCCCGTCGTAAAATGCATTTCGCGAAACTCCCCAGACTCAACATACACCAAAAGAAATGTTTGAACAATGTTTTAAATGTTTAAAGAGTGAACTCAAAATTCAGAGACAAGGAAAAATTTATTTCATTTTTAAATTCCTAAATGTCAGCTAAATATTGTAATTTTAAAACATGCAACAGTACAGCCCGTGCTAAAACTTGCAGCTAAAGTGCTGTTTCGGGATCCACTGGCAGCGTGTGTTGCAGTCACTGCATTAAAATGCTAGAAGACTTGGTGACCAAACTTAAAAGGGTCTTATTTATTCTATGCGGCACACAAATGCAGGACTGTTACCTCTAAAAGTCTTTCTGGAAGGCATTTGCGGGCTGTTCATCGCATACATTAGAAAAATACATAATACGTGGAGTGCTAATACAAAAAAAAATTATCTAAAAAATTTTTTAGCAAACATTAAATGTTCTTCTTCTTCTTCTTCTTCATTGGCGAAATAGCTCCGTGGTGGGCAAGGCCGTCTGTCCACTGTCAGATTTTGATACATGGGATGTTTTCTTTTTACGGGGTAAGGACGTCGGACCTACTACGCCCAGCAGTCATAATGGGCCGGGGCCTGCATAACCGAGTGTCTAGCGCTCGGTACCATAGGTTTCGGGTTCGAATCCCGGCTGTGCCATGGATCTTTGTAGTGGTTCGGAATCCTCTTTAAGCCGTAGGTCCCGATCTGATATGACTGTAAGAGCGTCACGGAGCCCAGTCAGACCCATATGTAAAGGGTAACTGTAAAGGGGCAACTCAGGATTTGGCACAGTGAAGTGGTGTGGTATAGTAGTGGTAGTTATATTAAACCGGGAACCTACGGTTAAGTGAACTCCGAATCATTAATAACCATGGTACCGCTGGGACTCGAAACCAAATCCTCTGGAACAGATAGCCAGAGCAAAGATTAAATATTAACATAAAAAAATAATCGGCTACTATTAGTACTAAGAAAGAATTAACCAAAATTAATAACCAAGTAAATATGGTAAGTAACAATAAACATACATTTTTAAAACATAACAACCAATTTACACCAGCATAGCTGTAACCGAATTTTCAAAATATGTTATTTATTAAGTCTTACAAATAGCAAAAATGGTGTGTTGTGTTCTCCTAGTTCAGATCTTTAGTATTATTTGTTTGTGGATGTAGATTGAGAATTTAAAGATGGTCAAGTTAAATTATTTTTTTGATGAAGAAAGATGCTTTTTCATTGTTAAGTGCTTTTTTTTTTCATTTATATTTTGAAATTTAAAACTTCTTAAGCTAGAAAGAAATGCAGTTCCCTAAGTCAGATTCCAAAAAATTTATATCTCATTAGCATATAAATCCTTTCACAGCACATTTGGGAAAACTTTCTCACTTTTTAAAAAAAGAACAGAAAAATCTTAGATCTTAACATTTTTGTTTAAATGGCATTTCTTGCCCAATTATTTTTCAAGAATTTGAAACATTAAATTGTGTTCGAAAAGCATAATAATGAATTGAATAAGATTTCCAATAAGAAAAATTTTTGATCAAGAGAAATCATTGAATATGTCAGGCATTCTATGGTCTCTGATGATAAAATTACGAAAATAAATGCATCAAATGTTGTTGTGTCTCAGTATCCAACAGCTGGAATGAGTAATTTACCTTAACGTAGGAGTATTTTACATTAAGTATTATTTTACATAGTATTTTACATTAAGTATTATTTTACATAATATTTTACATTAAGTATTATTTTACATGAGTATTTTACATTAAGTATTATTTTACATGAGTATTTTACATTAAGTATTATTTTACATGAGTATTTTACATTAAGTATTATTTTACATGAGTATTTTACATTAAGTATTATTTTACATGAGTATTTTACATTAAGTATTAT